ATGAACGAATTCATTTAATTTTTTTATTTAATAAAAATATTAGTGAAATTAATTTATTAAACTAATTAAAGAAAAATGTGACTAAAATTGATTAAAACAAATAAATTTGTTAAAATGAATGGCAAATACCGGTCCTTGGAGATGGAGCGGTTTGCGAAGTAAGCCTATCCGCTTTATTTTTCTGATAGACCGGTCCGTAACGCAGACGGGTTTTATAAACCCTTCTGTTGGATCGGAGATGCTCTTATTACGGATACAATTATGGGTCATTTATCAAAAAGTTACCTAGATAAGCGTTTAGTCGTTTACCAAGTCAAATTACCTTATCGAATAAATATGACAAGTACCAAAAACTTTACTCAATAAGAACGAAAGCAAAGAACGAAAGTATTACCCGGTAAGTGAAAACGTCGATTCTTACCATAATTAAAATTTATCGGATAAATTATTGTATACGATACCATTTTGGTAGACTAAAATTTTACTTGATAAATAATTAATAATATTAAATTAACTGATAAACATTTATTCAGATAAACATTTGATAAAGAGTAAGAAATACATTTTACCCACACATGATTAAAAAAAAACATTGGGATTAAACATATAGAATCAAATCAATCAACTAAAATTCTACTCATCTTATTTTCATGAGAGCCGATGCCAACCGCAAAAAAGAAAAAAAAAATACAAAAATATTATTAAACACACAACAACCAACCACGTGTACAGCCAGTCAATGTTTGGTCCAATTAACGAGAACAATCTATATTTTTCTATATTGGTTTTTAATATATAATATTTATATATTATATATACAAAAAATAAACTTATACATTTTTTTTATTTTTGGTGAGGTTTGAACCCTGATGTTCTAGAAAACAAAGACTATGATATTACTTAGACCAAAGAGCCTTTGATTTTTTTCTATATTGTTTATCTCTAATATATTATAAAAATAGAATTTTAGTTATTTTGAAATCCTAGGAGGTAGAATTAATTATGCTAATGTATAAATTTGTAATGCTACATAACCTTCTATAAGGATACCTAAAAACCCGATCAACCTAACATGAAATAATTTAACCTGAAACAACCCTATATCTAATCGAGTTATAAATTTTTCAAATCGTAGGTATTGGATTACTATTATTTGAACTCATCCAAACCCGATGAACCCGATATACTTTTATTTCTTGGATTTAGTATGATTGTTGAATTTATATTAATATATATATTAAACAAATGACACTATCACATACGTTATTCATATATACATATTTTCAATTTATTCATATCTCTATATAACTCATTATACGTAAGAAGTATGAAGAAGTTGTATCAAATGGTTGATAATTAAAAAAATTATGAGTATAAAAATAACATATATTCAATATTAGAGTAATATTTTAACGTATCCAAGTATCAACCCAATTACCCCGCCAACCCGTACGGTTTGAGTTGATTGGATTAAGATTTTTCAAACCACAAGTATTGGGTTGGATTATTCAAATGTCTTCAACCCAGTCAACTCAATTCATGAGCACCCATAACCTTCTACATCTTCCATATATCAAAAATAAAATTATTTTAATTTAAAAATTATATTTTATATTCTTATAATTAATTATTTACTTTACTTTTATATACCTTTTTTTTTCATTTTAAACTTTTGTCATATTTAACATAAATAATCATATATAAACTAAAAATAATAAAAAAATAAATTTTTTACAAATTATATTACTATAATTGTCTCGTTAATTTCTTCAAAATGAACTCAACATTGAATATTTTTTGATTTAGTAATACAATTAAATATCAAGAATACCTACGAAGTAATTTGTTTTAAAGTATTTCCAATGGAGGTTTTATAAGAACCTATTTTTTGCACTTTTTGTTGCCAAGTTATCAAATTAAGAACTCTCTTAAAATTTCATAATGATAGTTCTTATAAAAACCTCTTTGTCTGGGTCCTACTGATTTTTTCAATATCAATAATTATTATATTAGTAATTATAAAGTCAATAAAATAAAATAAAAAATAAGAAAAATGTCACATCTTACAAACTTCATGTTAAGAACCAAGGTTCTTGTTCAAGCACTTTGAAGATACAGAGGTTTTTATAATAACCTCTCCATAATTCTTGTTTTTACAAATCACTACATTTTTTGCTAATAATAACCTTGTATTGGAGATGCTTATATATCTTATGTTTTCATTTTAAGTTTTACACATTTATCATATTAAAAATACATAACCATAGATCAACTACATTATACTAAAAAAATGTGTTTCTTTTTTATTACAAATTATACCATTATAATCCTCTTGTCAATTCCTTCAAAATAAGCTTATTATTGAATATTTTTTGATTTAATAATATTAAAAAAATCATAAATATGCATGAATCTATATTATATTATAAAATGTCTTAAACGGTTACATATTATAAATGAACCAAGCATAACTTGACAAATCTAAGGAAAATGTACAAATTATGTCTCTCACTACCAAAAAAACCCCTAAATCCGCCGGAAATACCGTTTTCCGGCGGATTTCCGGCGGATTTGGCCGCCGGAAAAAGGGGCGCCGGTGTTTTTTTTTCCGACGGTGTTTCCGGCGGATTTTACACTTTTCCGGCGGATTACGGCCGCCGGAAAATCTCCGCCGGTTTTTTAAAAGAATCTTGATTAACTTAAAAAGTAATTTAATTTTTTTTT